CAAATAAAATCAACAAAAGTTTCAGATAATTACCAACAAAATTGGGTTGCTTGACTTGGTAAGCTCAAATTTTCCCAAATCGATCAGCCAAAGCAAGAGGAAGAGAGAAATCGTTGAAGAAAAGAAAGAGACACCTAAGAGATAGAGAGACGTCAGCGACGAAAGAAGCTTAAAAAGATTTCTTTTTTCCCGATGCGATTGATTACTGCAGACAAAAAAGTGGATACTTTCGTCGGTCTCAGAGATGTTTTCTTCTTCGTCAGATTTCCTCAAGACTTCATTTTTTTTTTCTTCTTCTTTGGCGGTCAAAGAAAACGTCACCTTTGCGTGTCGTTTTAATTATTTTTTTCGCGTTTCGTTTTAATTATTTTTTCCGCGTTTCGTTTTAAATATTTTCAGTTAATCCTTTTTTATTTGTGTGTAAGAAGAATTAGAAGTTGAAGCCCATTTGGCCCATTGGTTGAACAAGCATTAATTAATGCTTCTACACCCAGAGGTCTGGGGTTCGAGTCCCAGATACTACGATTTATTAATAAATTTGCAGATTATTGGAGACAAGTGTGCAGGAGATCTCCAGCGATGTACAATTATAGCCGTTCGCCAGGATTCTACGCAGAAGGGAAGTGTCCATCAAGAGCATAAAGAAGGAGGTGAAGGAGGTGAGTATGAAGAAGAAGGTGAAGAAGGTGTCGTCTGTCCTAGATCTAATAAGGATCGGAAGGAATTGTCCGTTGTAGAATCGTCTATGTAACAGTTCTCATAATTTGCAATAAATAATAAATCCAGACGTTAAAAAAAAGTAAGAAGAATTAGAAAGAAACAAAATTATAAAACTAGTAGTTGATTATCTAATAAAATTAGTTTTTTTTTCTTTTATTTTTTTTAATAAAAAAAAAATTAGTTATTAATACGTTATTTTATCATTATGTATTTATAAGTATACATTTTCTTTTTTGATAAAAAAAAATCAATGATACATTAAATAACCTAGACAATATATAAAATCACACATTTATTACGGTTAAAAAAAACTGATTAACTTAAAATCCTTATAAAACTTTAATAGATAATTGGCTAAATAATTCTAATGATTATATAAAGGCGTATGAGGAAAACGTTGTGCAAGACAGTGTCGCAATTTTTTCTCTAAGGGGGGGTTATTGGATGAAAGAATTGAATAGAATTCAATTGGATAGAATTAAAGAAGTAAGCTACAGATTTTTAAGGAATTGTTTAATTCTAACGATTATACTTTTTAATATTTTAATAGAATTTGGTAGAAAATTATCCCACGATTGTAGCTCTCCACTTAACCTCTA